TTTCACGGATATTATTTTCAAAGTATTAGAAGGTTTACGGATTATCGCCAGATTCATAATTTATTACATTAAATAGCATATAAAACATACATTTCGATCCACTATTATAATATATATTATAATATAATATAATAATTTAATTTGCCATAAATATATACCAGTCGTAAAATTTACGTAGATTGTTTATGCAGTATCACGGAACCATTGTGTAAAATTCCAACAAGAATCATTATACTTCCAGGTGAGACTCACGACCGAACTGTCAACATCTTAAGAATGCTACAAACAATGATCATTAAACCTGGAAGTATAATGATTCTCTTGTTGAAATTTTACACAATCCGATCTACGTGAATTTTACGACCGTTATATTTATTTAGTGAATTAAATTATTATAGAACGCGAACGTTATATAATAATATAATAATAAATTAATTATTATCACATTGAAAAAATCCAAGTATTGGATCGAAATGTATGTTTTATATGCAAAGGCATGCTTTTGACTTAATTCACTGGAGCCCTAAATTCGATTTATATAATATTACATAAATAGAGTTTAAGACAATACTTTTGCTATTTTTTACTCAACACAGACGGAAAAAGCTAAAGTGTTACGCAAATTTTTCATAAGTTCTTTTTCTAGTTTTCATAAGATGTTTTTCTGGTTTTTATCAGTTGTTTTTGAAATACGCAGACAGAAAAATATCACCATGAATTATTATAAGATACTAGAACATCGGCATGGTATTGAAAAATTGACTTAACTCTATCTGAAACCGTGCATAGCGTACATATTTTGTTTCGAAGAAGTCATGTACAATGTTATACTGACATTCAATCGAGTATATTGAAATGCCATAAATATATCAGTTAAGCAGTTTGAAAGTACTCATTAACGCACATACCATGTTAGATTAATTTTGAATGACTTAATTATTCCGCGTGCGTCAGTATTATGTGACTCACAGTATTTTTGCTTATCTTTTACGTTTATTAAATAACGTACAATATATTTCATAATATGGTTGAAAAATTAAATTATTAGTATAAAAAGAAGACCTATAATGTATCAATATATTGCAAAAATTATTTTATAATTTCGTTTCATTTTATAATTAAATTATCAAACAACTTAAACGGAAAGTTTAGTATAAGTCACCGATCAGTTGACACACATATAGTACGGAATATGTTAAAAAAATAGAACAATAACAAACAAATGTATGCATCTTTATTGATAAAAAATCTGTAGCATACTTAGCAAAATATAATAAAAGAAACCTTGTGTATACCACTCAAGTGGAACACACACACACACACACACACACACAAAGGGTTAATATATTTATTGAAAGAAACTGTATTCTAAATTCATATTGCATAAAAAATTCATAAGTCAAATTTGTCATAAGACATTTCACATATCAGCTCTTTTACTAATTAGATTATTTGTTTCACACACAATCATAAATATGTAATTAAATAAACTAAATTGAGTACAGTAAAGTAAATCATTAATCATATCCAATTAAGACTAATATCTATCAATTTAATTAAAATTAATAAATCATTAATCATACATGTGTATCTTGTATATATAATTATATCATGTTCTTACCGTTAATTTTTCAAAGATTAGATAAGAGAGAGAGCTTTATACAGAATAAATTTCCATCAATTTTTTTCAGTTCATTTACCTTTCGCCTATTCAATGTAAGATATCAATATCGCTTCTGCTTCTTAAAATCACATATATCTTTATACAAATGTGAATGCTGAAGCTAGAATAAATTGAACGTGAGCTAGAGATGGATGATACAGAAAAAAATCTCGATATTTCCTATCGTGAGCAGAAATATTGACATAACAAAATATCAGCTAGATAATTTGCAATGTTGCGAATATTGACACGGATTCGATATTTTTATTTTTATGTACACGCACTGGCAGGAATGATGTCCCCCGGCGCGCGGTGCCTACACTTGTATACTTGTACCGAATGCATACATACGTATTACTAGAAGCGCGGAGGAGGTGAGAAGCGCAAAGGGAGGAAGTCGTGGGGGGCGCTCCGATATTCTGTTCTTAGCGCAAGGCGCACGATTGAGACATTGAGAGAGAAAGCGTAATTTTATTGGACGTGATGCCGGCTCGCGGTGTCTTACACATTTATTATTAGTACGAGTGAAATTGGTGTCTTGCGCTCGTCAATATTCATAATAATAATTTTATTATGTACAAAATATTGTAATTGTGCATAAAAATTTTTAATACTCTAAAAATTATATATTACAACGTTATGTGTAATATAAGATGTGAACTTTGATTATGCTTCTGCGATGGATTTTGCATTTGTATCCTATATATTGTGTAAATTTTGATCCATCGTTTTACAATATGACTTTTTCTTTTATGTTTGAGGTTGTACATCAAATCTGTAAATTTGATGGTGACATTCTCTCAATCATATAAAAAGGACTTGCAGTGTTGTGTGCTGAGGATGACTCCAAAGTAGAGTCGAAACGTTCAAATTGTTACACTAAACGAATAAACGGAGATTATAACTTACTATTAACCAAGTTGACTCTCACTAGTCTGTTTCTTGGAACTACATCATGTCATTTTCTTAAAGAACAGAGTCCTAAAGAAAGAAGATTACATTCCAGGAATATGATATAATATAATGCGAAATAAAGTATAGACATAGTTTTTTCATAATTATATACATATTTTTATAAATTCAAAATTTTAATTTACATAATACACAAAGAAAAAGGTTTCTTTAATATTCCTATTTATTTGACTAAAATTTGTTTCATTGAAACAATATATGTTTGGTATAAAACGTTATTTGTTTTGTATTTAAAACCTTCGCGCTCTTTACCTCTTCTGCTTCCAGTAACACACGTACGTGTGCGCTTCGTACCAGTGTAGCGCCGCGCACCGAACGCCGGGAGACATCATTCTTGCCGGTACGTGATTCATACATGATACGCGCATCAATATGCATATCGATACGCGTATTGATACGCAAAATATTGATCTCTTTTTAAAAAAAAAAGATTGACGATCGTTTTTGAAGCTATTTTAGCAATCTTCTTTAAAAACTATTTCAATTAAAATTTTTTTTTAATTGTTATTTATTGCAATTAGTACTATATACAAATAGTATATATACACTGTAAAAAATAAAATGTTAATTTTAACTCAAAGACATTGAGAGGATTTTCTGAGACATGCAAAAATGTTAAAATTAACATTTTTATGTTAATATTTTAACATTTTTGCATGTCTCAGAAAATCTACTCATAACGTCTTTGAGTTAAAATTAACATTTTATTTTTTACAGTGTACATATATATATATATATATATATATAACATACACTACATTTTATCTTTATCCAAAAGACACGGAAACGTTTTTAAAATGTCTGCTGTACGTTTCTAGGACACATCCCTCAGAGAACTGCTGTATAGGATAGTATTAATTGTAATACATACGTCTATGTGTATATTTACAATTTATTTTTTATTTTCTTATGTAATTTTAATCTTTCGTTATACATTGCATTATTACAATACATATAATAAATATGATAAATAATGAAAATTCAATATTATCTTAATCCCGTATTAAATAAACTAACATGTGTGTGTGGGTGTAGACTTAATGGACCGTATCTGAAGTTTAATATTCATGTTCAAATGTCAATATTGAAAGATAAAATATCGGTACAAAATATCGAGAAAAATGTTCAAAAATATCAGCGCTGTATCACTCATCCCTACTATAAATTTATTAAATTCGGTATAAATATTCGCTCTAGAGCAATTCTTTGTAAAAGTAAATCCGCTTGCAACAATCTGTGAATCTCCTCTCGTTCTCATAATGTCAGTATCGTAACTACCCATAGGTAATATATCAATATTGTAAATACTATACCTATAGATATAAGTACCTAGGTACAGTATTTAGGTTATACTTTATTAGCAATACCTAAGTGCAGTACTTAGATTCAGACGGAAATACCTGTACTCGTATCTACACTTAAATGATTTTAAAAAAATGTATTTATGCCTGTAACTAAGTACTATTCCTACACAGTACCTGTATCTATAATTAGATAATTAGATATTTTTCAAAAGGTATGTATCTGTTACAACACACTGCATACATGTAATATATGTATATGTATATATACAGGGTGTCCGGAAAAGAGAAGAATGTCGCTTAAGGGGAGATTCTTGAGATCATTTTGAAACGAAAATTCTAATTACAAAATATTGAGATTATAATAATTTTTGAATTATAAGCGTTTAAAATTAACGCGAATCATACTGTGTAAAGTTGGTGCACTCAGGAGTGGCACAACGCAAAGTACTAAACGCGAAAACTTACTTCTTTTGTCAATATTGATTTTAGGATTACATATATGAATATAAGATTTTATTCTATTGATATTTCTACAAATGCTTTGTTCAAATACACTTTAAACATTTTTATTAAAATAATCCGGAGAAACTAGGAACTTATATGAATAATATAAAATTATTAATTATGAACAATTGTAATCATTTGTACAATTTTATGATAATTAATTAATCTTATGATAATTAATTTACAAAATAAATTATGTATATTATAATAAATGTTCGAATTGTACTCCATTCGTATCTATGCATAATCTTGCGCGTCTCAATAAACTTCATATTGATTATCATATCGGGTGATATCCTTGCAATTGTTTCAACAATGCGATTGTGTAATACCGATACCTGTATACCGATTGCGTACTGGCTTCCAATAAATATAATTTTTTAAATGCCTCCAAAAAAAATCTATTAGAGTTAAGTTGTGCGCGGATGATATACAAAAGAATTTCTGATAAGTCAGCTTTCGCGTTTAGTACTTTACATTGTGCCGCTTCTGAGCGCGCCAGCTTTAGACGATATGATTCGTTAATTTTAAACACTTATAATTCAAAAGTTATTATAGTCTCAACATTTTGGTATTAGAATTTTCGTCTCAAAATGATCTCAAGAATCTCCCCTTAAGCGTCATTCGTCTCTCTCCCGGACACCCTGTATATTAATCCCTAAGCAAGTTTCGACCGATTGTATGTTGGGAACAAATGATGAAGAATCATAATTATCTCCGCAATCGTGCAAGAATCTGATTGTACATTATTTTACTTCGAAAGAAGGCCATCCTCATCGTATCGGTTACATCGTCCTTCGATATGCAAGACAATCGACATGCGTGAAGACGTGAAAATTGAACGAGCAGGTCCGACTGAAATGGCAGCTTCCGAGCACATGGAGAACGGAAAAAGGTGTGTTCTTTTTCTTTAACTTCATATTTAATTTTACATTTGATTTTCACTGATTTGTGAGATGCTCCCGGTAAAAATTGTTTTCTTTTTAATCCCGATACAACACTACAAGTTCTTTTCGAATAGAAAAAACGTCATTATACATAAACAAATATTCTTCTGGTAAAGATTTTAAGATTAATTATAAAGTGATTCAGATTTTTATTTAAAAGTAACCATAAGTATCTAGAAAATAAATCTTAAAAAAATATTAATTTTCTTAAAACGATAAAATTATTCGTAAAAAGATACACAGAGATAAAGAATATCACTGTTCACGTAAATATAAACGAAAAAGTTTTTACAAATATAATAGTACATACAATCTTTCTTTATTGATCTTGACTTATGGAACTTTGTTCAACAGTAAATGATTGAAAGAGAATGTAGTATTTCTTTAATTATGTAAAACTGTTGTGTAAGATTCCGGATGCATCATTAATCAGTAGATATTTTTCGGTAAAATGTGCTATTATTTTTTCTTTTATTAAAAAAAAAATTGAGTTTATGTAATTATATATAAATCACAAATAACTCTCTTCTTTAACCTTAATTGATATTTATTCCGAAATCTCCTTAATTAGTATTCACGAGTCTAGTCAGTCTAGTGTATACTATAGTCGGCCGACAAACCTTATTCATTTGCATTACATGACAGTTTTAATGCAAATATTCAAGATATATAAAAGGAACTCAGCATTAATAATATGGAAATGAAAACAAACCGAAAACCGGAGAATTCATTATTTAAGATGTAGTTCACCGACTTTCACGGCGATTTCACGCCAACTGCGCATATGACCTCCCAATCGTGAACATACTTATGCGTATTAATCGACCTTGAAGTGACCGGATCTAAAAAATTAAAAATAAAATTCAAGGTATCAGCGCCACATCTACAATTTGTTTTCAGGGGATCCCCTAAGAGGTTTTCCTCTGTAGCAAGAAAAACGCGTCAATAACATAATTTCGCGAATTTCCGCAAGATCAATACATATCTTCAGCCGCAATTTTATCATATCTTATCAAATCTTAAACTATATCAAATAATTAAATTATTGTACAACGAAACTAATAATATGATAAATAAGTTTGTATTTATCTTATTCTTACTTGACGCGAATATTATAATTTTATATGTTGAAATAAATCATAAATATATAATAAATAATCAATAAACACATATATACAATAATAATCAATAAACATAATAAAATTCGTTTTTACGTGATCATGATATAATCCTCTATGAAAATACAGTTATTAGAGTCCTCCGAATTCGGTGAAACTTCGTATTCGGGAGTTTTCGGGGTCGCTGATCTAGAATCCGGATTCAAAATTTGGTATTTTAAAATGGTTGAACCAATATGGTGGATAGAAATGTTATGAAAATTTGAAGGTTTTCCGATTTTGACAAATTTTTGCACGAGCGGAATTTAGGAGTCGCTGATTTCGAATCCGGACTCAAAATTTGAAAATTTAAAATAACCGAACCAATATGACGCGATGAAAGTCCTAAAAATCTTCCAATTTCGGCAAAATTTCGCATTAGGGGGTTTTTGAGATCAAAACCAGCAATTCTGCTTTAAATGTGAGTGGAGAGAGATTCTTTACTATTATAAATCGAGGAATTCTCTAACAATAAGATTTGTTCGATATGCAAGTAGGCAAGTCCATGGCAAGCATTTTTTCAAATTTGTATAGCTATTCAATGAGTGTGGTTTAACATATTATTTAATGTTTTATAAAAAATTTTTATAAAAATGATTTATAAAAAATTTTTATAAAAATGATTTATAAAAAATGTTTTATTATAAATTGTTTACTTGTTAAGTAAAAAATACTTAACAGTATTTTGTACTTAACAGGAATATTTATTTATATTTCTTATAAATATAAAAATATTATATTAAATGTTTAATTGATTTGTTAATAATTTTGTTTTTTTTTCATTTCACTTATTATATAAAATCGCTGAAATTAAATTAAAATTTATACAAAATTTTGTTGAAAATTCTTTGATTTTTTGTGAAATGTATACAAAACTTTCATGCGTAAAATATCAACAAAAATGACAAAATAATTAAAAGTAAAAAACTATTGATTATTCTTTTAAGTACACATGATATAAGTTTAAATATCTCTCTTTCTTTTTTCCTCTTTGTCTCTCTCTCTCTCTCTCTCTCTCTCTCTCTCTCTCTCTACTCTCTCTCTCTCTCTCTCTCGCCGCTCATTAAAATTTATAATGTTCTAAGATTGAATTTATACTATACGTTTTGATAAACTTGTGTGTTTTTATCCTTGAATTTTGTACAGAAAAAAAGAGATGATACTTTAAACTCATTTGCGAATATATAAATTTGCAGACTCAGGTGAAACTGCAGAACGTTAAGAAAATTGCAGGAAGTAAGATATTATTGAATTGCCAGTTATTTCATCATCCCTAAGAATTGCCTTATTCGTTCTTGCAAAGTCTAAATTATTATCGCGGTTACTTACGTAATACACATATTTCACATTTGGTATTAGACTAAAGATAACGTAACCGATTATCGAATATGAGCGAGAGAGAGAGAGAGAGAGAGAGAGAGAGAGAGAGAGAGAGAGAGAGAGAGAGATATCATCGAATCAGTACAATTAAAATACAAAAAAGAGCAAGAGATATTCTTATGGATTCGACATTTTTGCATACCCTAGAATATGAAAAATTGTTCTAATTAAAACAGTTGGTTAAAATACCAAAAGTGACGATGTATTTTCTTCGTTTTGATAAGTTCAATTCTAGACCGGTATTCCTAGTCCGATCTTAATATAATTATAAATCTTCAGAAAATCGTATTTCTTGATAATCAATCGCTTGTTCGATTCACAAAATTCTTCATCAGGAGCATTTTTAATGATCGTAAATATATATTATGAAGAACAAAATTTTACTCGAACGCAATCAGTATCTGGCTTTTGAAAGCTCAAAACTTAAGATTTTGAAATAAAAATGGATTATCAGTTTACAACCTATGGTTAGTTCATGATATTTTAAAATTGTACTTAAAATGGTCTGAAATATAAGAACCAATGATATTTCAGAAATATAGTGCTCAATATAAACATCGGTCTAAGTTTTCGAAAATGGATTTCGTCTACCGACTTTTCATTCTTTTAATCGTGATGATCAGCAAGTGAAAAACAATTTGCTTATTTTATAAATATAAAATTAGATAATAAAAATGCAAATGGAAAATCCGGGATAAAGATGCAAATTGAAATATAAATTGCATCTTGTTGAGAGATAAGATCAAAAGATATGTTTACGTGTCTCGTGCCACATGTACGCACGACAGCCTCAAGATAGATTATGTATCTGGACACGGGTTCTTAGTTAAGTCGCGATATCATTATCAAATTTTAATAATTATTGCAAAGAAATAAGTGTTTTAAATTTGCTTTCTATGCAGCGTAAACAGAGAATTATAACGCAAAGTTCCATACTAAGAAAAAAATGTTCTGATTGAACCAATAAAAGGACCCAATAAAAATAATATTTTGATAAAATCAAACAAAATTTCTAATTCTTGTAATCAGAAATTCTATTTGTCTTCATAAAATTATCATTCTTGTTGGATTCTTATTGGTTTAATGAGAACAATTTTTTTTAATGTATAAATCTATATATATATATATATATATGTGTGTATGTTTGTGTGTACTAAAAAAATATATGTGTAAGAATTTAATATTTTAATCGAACAATGCACCGTCAATTGAAAGCCATTAATTACAAATCTCAAGACTAATTACCTTAACGCCTATTAAGTGACAGCAGACTATAATCTGCTGTTCGCAAATAGGTCACCGTCCGACAATCTCATTGTATTAATACCGCCTTCGCGCGATTAATTAACATCCTGCGCGTTAATCTGAGCTCCCTACGAGACGAAGTTGGTTTTGCATGCAATCGGATGATGGCGAGAAATCTCTTTAATAATCGTTTTAGCAATATCACTATGAGTCTTCGACGGTGACATTAATAGATCGTGTCATGAAAAACCTTGACCCAGCGCGATCAGATCCCGGAAAACCGCACTTTTGCAGACGTGGCATGACCACTATGCGACATGAAACGACACGTAATGCGTAATGACAGTACTAATTGACGAAGATAATATCTTCACTCAACTATAGTATTCACAGTATTTCGCTTTTGACAATTAGTTGACATGTGATAGATTGCAACACAGCTCGAGATAGAAATTCAAACAGAAAAAAGTCATTATGACATCAAAATGGTTTTAAAATAAGTATTAAAAAATATAAAAATATATAATGAATAATTAAAAGTCACTATTTGATCAAACACATTCATTTTAACGTTACCGTGACTTATTCTGCTTGAGAAATCTCATGAAACGATATTATCTATAAGAAGAAGAATGACGCAGAGCAATATATTCTGTATATGTTTCTTATGTATGTATTTTATGAATATTCATGCAAATCTCATTTACGAATTATTTAAATATTACTGGCGAAGATTTTCCGGTGAAAAAAAGATATAATAGAGGGCACGTTATATACACGTAATAGTATAGTAGAATTTTTGTTCGAATACGAGCGAATTTTCGTGTAATTTGTTTAATGTCACAAACATTTCGACATAAAAAGGATACGTTTCTATTCTTTAAAAGTAAATTACGCAAACATTTGAATTTATTCTTTAAAAGTAATTACGCAAACATTCGAATAATAGAGCATCCGGATACTGGATTCATTCAAATAATGGAGCTTCGGCTAACAGGCCTTCTGTTACATCCTCATATTCTTTGTTGCAAAATAAATGGCAAAATAGTGACCAAAAGATCTAATTACTTACTGAGAATCAAACGATTTGCGTCGAGTCTTTGTGTGTGTGGACAGTCTTTTAGAAAATCTCATTTTCTCCTGTGACATTGTTCAATACACATTTTAGATCACGAATCAGACAAGGTGTTTTAGTCGCTGAGAAAAGTCTGTTAATAAAATTGCTCTATTACGTTAAACCTTTGAGAAAATTGGACTTATACCCGTTTCCACCAATATAATTTAATTTTAAGTAGTTTAACTTATTTTTCATCATTTTTAAATCTTTTTTAGAACTAAAAAAAGATGAAAGGTAAGTTAAATAAGAAATAAAGTTAATCTGCATTAAGAATTTAAAAGCTGTAACTGTCAGGTTTTAATTATTATGTATTTACATATATGTTAATAAATTGTTTATTAATTGTAACTTCTTACACAAAGCAGCTAAAAATATTGTATATGACTTTTCCAGATCTTTTGGCACAGAAAAAAATGAATTTGTTTACAGAACAATCATATTACATTACATATTTTAGCTATTTTAACTTAAAAAAAAAATACGAAAAAATGTCATTTTCAGCACTCCTAAAACAATTTTCAAAAACACGACAGAATAATTTTACTAGATTTGCTTTCAGTGGCAAACGATCCATAAGAATTACCTTCATATCTAGTTTATGGTAACAAAGAAAGTTTAAATTTGTCGGATAATTAATGCCTAAGGCAATTAATGTCACATAAAAGCGGACTAGCGTTAAAATAGACGTATGTTATTAGCGAAGAACATTCAGTTGGCATATTTCATGCGCAATTAAAATCACATCATATTTGATCGAACTAAATGTCACTAATTGCAGGTATGGATCAACAATAAATCCTTCGATAAACATAATTCAAATGGCATTCTCAGTTGAGAGTTTCATAACTTAGATTACGGATTTTTAAATTCTACTTACGTTTCCATTTTCTAAAAAACATATTTTAAAACATGAAAAATTTAAGATCATTAAATTTAAATTTAAGATTATTAGCTTAACGAGTTAATGATTAAGATTATTAAAGCTATAAGCAACTGTTTTTGTAATTATTAAAATTACAGGAACAGTTGACATCAAGACTTAAAAAGTCGTCTACAAAAATGCAAACAATTTAACTATTTAAAAAAAAAATTATTAATTTTTTTTTAGAAAAATACGTTTGTAAGTTTTATCTATCTATCTCGTTGTTGTCAGACGCATCCTGTAAAAGTACGGGTCTTCATATTTTTATCAATTCCGTAGATATAATTGCACGCAAAAATGAGAAGAGTATACACAAGTATACGTGGGAAAGGGCAACGGATACATTTAGGTATGTTCCTGAGCAAGTGGAAAACAGGATTGCAATACATGATTGGTGATGTTACATCATCGTTGAGCTCGTTTTATTCAGAATGAGAGAACGGCACGTATACTTGGTGAGCGACACACTTCGTCTAAAGCCAATGCTACGCATCGATTTCGCGAACCTACAAATTTACCGGAGCACAAAACATTAAAAAAGAAACAAGGAAAGTATAAAACGTGGGAATACAAGAGAACGTAAAAAAAATATATCTATATCCGACTAACGCGCGACCTCGCATAAATAACTCATACTAATCGTTGCATTGTTCGCCAGCGTTTCGCGTAACGCTCGTTGCAACGATTTTAAACCAGCACGATTCAGCACAAAAGGTTCCTCAAACGTCATTGCTTATATAATTGCGCTTCTTTGCACGTTTGCGCAATATACGTACAATATGTGGATCATCGTAAACCGGTTCTTCGTCTCTTTCTCTTCTCGCGGATATTCTCTTGCGGGATTATTTCAAAATCTTATATGGTTCTGTGCATAGAACACGGCAATGCTTATCGCGTGGCGGAAATTGGCGCAAGAGCCAATCAATTTATCACTTTTTCATAAAAGCGAAAGAATAATTGGCTACTGCGCTAGCTTCTGCCATATGGCAATAAGCATTATTGCATCCTGTATGTGAGAACCATTATGATGAACAAATTTCTTTTTTATTTTTTTCCATGTATAGCTTCAGAAATATTCCGTACTGTCACTCGTAGAATAACATTCTTTTTATAATTTATTTTATATGCGAATTTCAAATAAACTGCTATTATTTAAATAGAATTAAGTAGAAAGAAAATAATCTTCATAATTTCTTCTAACAAAAGAATTATTGATGAGCTTTCCATTTCTAATTTATTTACGGAAATTTTTTATAATAACAAAAATTATTTGTAGGTAAATATTAATAGAAAAATATTGCATGCAAAAAATACTGTTTATGATATGAAATAGATTAACATAAAAGTATATAGCATAAAATTATACCTGCGTATTGTTTTGATTAATAACAAGTCGTAAATCCAAAACCGATTTACCAAAGAACTGGAGATATTTTTTAATTTTTGCACAAAAAAACATCTCTTAAAGTTATACAAATTTTTCTTTTAATATGTAACTCTAAGAAAGAAAGAAAATAATATAACCTTTTGGCACTTAGAATGACTAAATCCAACTTCGCCATAAAGATTGTTGCCGAAAGCAAATTGATTACGTCAAGTGAAAGGGTCTTGTAAATCGTTGATTATGCTTTAACGAGATGGAAGAATTGCGTTCCATTGAACTCGTGTATACTTATACATTTTCTTCAGTGCGCAAATAACTTACTTCTCCATTTTACATCGATTAATATGTATTATGCGTAATTATCTTATTCTTATTTTTCTACCAAAAGATTCTATATATAAATAATTTATAGCCATGTGTATTTTTTAAATATATTTTTTGCTAGATTTAACAAATACCTAATAAGATAAATATTATATTTTATTAGTCATATTTGTGTAATACCTTAATTTTATGTATACTTTTGCTTCGTTCATTTAATTACAAACATATATTTCATTATTCTGTAAAAAATTATTCGGTGTCACGCAACTGTCAGACTTCTTCTACCTTGTCTCTACCATTTAAGATCTTTTATTCGACTGATTGAGAGTTCAATGTAGACTTTAAAGATGTGTCGAGCATGTTAAATTCCAAGGCCTAAAGCGTCAAATGGTTACTAAAGTTCTTGAGAATGTTATTTTAAGGCGCAAAATTGTCTATTTCTATCAAAAATAAAACAAATCAAATGTTGCATTAATCAATTTAATGCGTTTTAATAAATGATATCATGGAATTAATATTTGTAAAATTAAATTAATGTTTTATGAGTCAACATTGCTATGATTTTTTTACGGTCATTAATCTTACAAAAAATAAGTCTATTATTATATTATATGATATAATTTCCTTGATTTCGCGGTCATAATTATTCCAAACGTAATACAATTCTGAATATGAAATAAAATTTAAATTCAATTTTCATATTATAGTACAAATTTACTATTTTTTCTATTTAGTTCCCAATTGTATACTCCACAATGAGATTAAGATTTCCAAACTTGAAGCTCCGAATTTGCATTCAAATTTTATTTCGCTTAAAATTATACACGTTTGGAAAAAAAATTGCACTGCTTTATCTTAACAAAAATATTTAAAAATATGACAAACATTAAAAGTAATTATTGACAATGGAAAAAGATTTGAATATTTATTAATTTAATAATAATTCATATATCTATATATAATATTAAAAGAGAAAATTAGGTATTAAACTTATCATTGCATTTTCAGTACATTGTACATTGTATTAATAATTCTTTTCTCTATATTTTAGAAACGATGACAAAACATCAATTCCAAATGAAGAAGTATACATTTCTAAACTTCGACAAGCAATACCACAATGTTGCGCAGTTGGCGCTAAAAATTTACTCCTGATTACTTTTGGTACAACGTTGGGATTCTCAACTATCCTTATTCCGGCGTTACAGAAGGATGATTCGGATATCAAAGTTACGATGGAGGAATTAACATGGATCAGTAATGAACTATTTTTTAATATAGCACGCTAAGAGAATGTAACACAGAATTATTTAAAACATTTTTGTTTTAAAATATAGAATTTTTCTTTCATCTGTCAAAAAGATTCCCTTTCGCTTTTTCTTATAAAACTCGCATTGAGATATTTAAGTTTATATCAATTAAATTTAACGGTAAAAGTTATAATGTTGGTTTTTATCGTATTATAAATTACCTCAATATTTAAATTATTAATTTTAATTATTAATTTTAATTATTAAATTATTTTAATTTTAATTATTTAAATTATTAATTTTAATTATTAATTTACTATATACATTTATAGTTTAATTTAATAATTTAATTGGATTTCGTACAATAATCTTATTAGTTGCATCAATAATTGTCATATTTCTCTTTCTCTCTCTCTCTCTACAATGTTTTCAATTAACATATTCTCTTCCAGGCAGTCTGAACTTATTTCTCGTGCCGATCGGTTGCTTAGCAAGCGGACCGATATCGCAATATTTAGGCAGAAAACGAGCAATGATGCTGGCGAATATACCGTTCGTCGTAGCCTGGTTAATATTTTACTACTCCACCAATCCCGGGATGTTGCTTACGGCGCTCGCGATAACGGGCCTAACAGGAGGCCTTCTGGAAGGTCCAGTTATAACTTATGTTGCCGAGGTGACGCAACCCTACCTGCGAGGGATGCTCTCTGCGACTTCCTCGATGGCAGTAATCCTAGGTATCTTCACGCAAATGTTAAGCGGCAGTTTGGTCCATTGGAGAACGGTGACGATCATCAATCTGATTTATCCGATTCTTTGTATTCTCGCTTTATGTTTGGTGCCCGAGAGTCCACATTGGCTGGCCGGTAAGTCATTAGTCAAATTATTTATTTATAATTATTACGAATAGCCAATATTATTATAATATTTATCTCTCTTCTCGACTAAAAAAAATTATAAAACAATTATATATATGTGTGTATATATATATATATATAGCAATTATACACTGCGCAACACCTGTTTCACTATGCAAAAATAGGCAAACTTCAACTTTTGCTTCAGGTGTAGCCTAATCTTGTATAAAAATGTATTTAAGAATTAGTTTTAAGTTTTACATTAAATACAATTGGTTTTTTCTAGTTAAGGGTCGTCTCAAGGAATCAGAACACGCTCTCTGCTGGTTGCGAGGTTGGGTAAATCCGTCTCATGTGCATAATGAATTTGGAGCGCTTTGCGAAGCGATTCAGAAGCCGGCCAATAATACCGGCTCTGATAAGAAAAAAATCTGGCAAGCCTACATGAAACGAACTTTCTACCTGCCTTTTTCTTTGGTCACTACAGCATTCTTTATCAGTAACTTCGGCGGCTGCACGACCTTGCAGACTTTCGCCGTTATAATATTCGCGAAATTAAACGCACCGATCGACAATTACACTGCCACGGTATTTCTGGGCATTGCCCAGTTAATAGGCATCATAATCTGCGTATTGACGATTCACCTTATAGGAAAACGCAAGCTGACCTTCCTATCAGTCGGTGGTACTGGATTATGCTTCCTCACTACAGCTATCTATGGTTATTTGAACGAGGCAGATTATGTGGACGGGGTCAAATACAGCTGGATACCTACTACCTTCATGATAGGCGGTGCTTTCATGGCAAATATATGCATCAGAACGCTGCCTTGGATTCTTGCTGGAGAGGTGTTCCCAGTAGAAGTGCGTGTATTCTACATTTTTATTTATATTTCTCTTGTAATATTTTCAAGTTCTATAATCCCTAAAATTGTTGCAATTCCATTTACATTTAATTGATAAACTACTTTTTTACACACTATTAGATTGTCAGAAAAGGTCCGAATCACCCTTTGGTTTTTACATGCTTTATTTAGAAGCAACAATTACTCTTCAAAATTCAGACTATTATGTTTAATAACCATTCGCCAATCTGCTAACTGTTGGATTTAGTTTTGGTACCTCCTTAGATGAGCTTTAACTTTCTTAACAGTCGTCCCTAAAAGAAATGTTATGAATGTTTATTTTTCTTGATTTTAAACGATTTTGAATTCGTCATCAGGTACGCAGCAGCGCAACCGGTGCGGCTGGTATGACTGCCTACATCATGGCGTCGATCGCGAATAAAACCTTCCTCTACATGGTGAATAGCATGTCACTGCCCGGCACAATTTTCTTCTACTCTGTGATCAATCTTGTTGGTTTGTGTCTATTATATGTGATATTACCTGAGACCGAAGGTAGGACTTTACAAGAAATTGAAGAGCATTACGCCGGTATACAGAACTTGAAGGATCGACCAAGGAAGAAGCAACGGGCCATCAAAGAAAAATGGGCAGTTGCGAATCCAGCAATCATACACGATGAGAGTAACGAAAGTAAATTGTAGGTCGAAAATCGGCTAGCAACACTTTCGCGAATTAAAATATATTATTAACTATTGCATTTTGAACTCTTTTCACGATAAAAAAATATATTCTACACGTAAAAAACTATTATGGTTGTCACAAATAATAATAATGATATTTTTCATTCATTAAAACAATTTGGTTGTAAGAATTATAGTTCGGTTGTGGTACATGACTAAAATATAGTTATGATAATCGTAAGACGGGATATATCTTAACAGGTTATGGCTCACACACACACAAAGCCATATAATAGTTTTATAACCAAGTCGTATCGATGGGCGAAAAATAACATTATTTTCAATTGTAGCAATCATAACATTTTTTCCATGTATTATTTGTCATATTATACTTTAAATTATATAGAAAGAATTACACAATCATTTCTACATACATCTATGATATAAAGTGCAATTATAAATTGTTTTTAATATATAAACGGACTATATAATTGAAAATAATTTTTAAATTTGTTAACATACGTATGAATAATTCCGGCTATAGCATGGACTTAAGTGTATAATTTGCGCGATTTACTTTGCTACTTAATGCAAATTACACATCGGAGAAAAGTTGTTTTGTGAATAGATGAATAGATGAACATCAAGGAGGAACAAGATCGCATGCGGTAAATCAAATGTTTTTAAAAAAAAAAAACTTCCGGGAAAAGATTAAAAAAGCGATATATTGAAGAATGTTATGAAATAATATTTTCATTTATTATTTTATATTATTTAAAAGATAGACTCGATTGCCAAAGTGTTATTGATATTACTGCTAACTAATCTTTAGAAATACAAAAACTGATTTTTTGATTCTAAACTGGACTTAATGATTCCCAAAATATCATTATATTTGCTACATTTGCCACAATTGTCATATACTGGAAAAAAAAAGAACAAAAATTTCAATTAAAAAATATAAATTTCTAAAGGTTAGTAGAATACTTGATAGACTTATTTTGTTGACTTTTAAGATTTATTTCTTCGTTATCACTTAGGAAAGCTTTTATGAAAACTTGCATCCTTTTATTGTGATTGAATATATTAACATATAGTTTTAAAAAATTGAGAAAAAAAATAAGAACTAAATAGAAATAAGCCTTATTAACGCTGTTGCGTTTCATTCTTCTCTGTGATGAATTGATAATCTTTAATATTAAATATAGAATATATGTGTGTGTATACACACACAACACACACACACACACACACACACACACACACACACACACACACACACACACACATATATGTATATGTATATCAGTAATATAAAATCATATATTATGTTTTCATAAATAAACTCGAATATCGCTATCTTTTTCATTCTTAATAAAATAATTTTAATAGATAGAAATATATATACAAGACTTTATATTTTACAATTTGGTTCCTTTATATATTGTAAAATATAATAAAAAATCTGTATAATCTATATAACATATATAAGTTATATTTTTCAACAAACTAAATAAAGGAAATTTGATATATATTGTAGTTTAAATCATTTATTGTTCATAATTATGCGACAAAAAAAATTATACAATTATATAACACAGTAAGTATAAACTAATCATTTTTTTTAATTAAGGGAGAGAACATAATCTTAGCTTTTATTGTCCTTTTTCATCTATATTACATACGAAACACACGACTAATTTTTTGCATTTTTCTCCAATTAAATTGTGTTTTGCTTTCATTTTTCCACAAATTCGTATTACCTTATCGCTTATACTGTGCACATATGTTTATATAATGTGTGAATGTATGTCTACATAATGTGTGAATGTATTGAGCTCGGATGCGTGAGTTCGCTAACAATAAGCCCAAATAGCTGTGCGGATCAATTATCCCTGCGGGAACATAAATTAATCAAGAGTTGATCATTTAATAATTGAGGCATTGTATCAATTTAAAATTTAAATCAATATTGATAATGATGAAAGACTTGCCAGCCGACAAGAACAGAGGAAAGCTCACGGTTCTTCAGTTTTACTGTAGATGGAACAGGTAGTCTTTCATATTTAAGAGATTAATTATGAATTTCTCACTAAATATATAAAAGAAAGAGAGAGGGAGAGAGAAATTTTTATATTAAATTTTAATGACAGATTCTTTAATTAAATATTTTATCCAAAATTGTGAAAGAAGTTTGATCATTAATTCTTTTATACCAAATATATTTCATTTAAACATTTAAATCGATTGATATATTCTTTTAAAAAAAAAAAAGAAAAATCATTTAACTCAAAAAAACTTATTAAATTAATATTTTGTATAAAATAAATTTTCTAAAAATTATCAAATATATCTGCGAAAAATTATAAAATATCTGTCATTCGCTTGTTTGATTATTTCTTTTTCCTTATGCTTATACTGATAACAAATTTTTTAATATAAGAAGAAAAAAACAAGATGATCAAATACTTTTTTTATTTAATCTCTCAGATTAAAAACAGATAAAAATCATTTCAAATCGATAATAGTCAATATTAACAAGGAATGGAAAATTTCAAGCTTTTAAATACAAAAAATTTTTATATATAAAATCTTAATTAAAATATATTTCTATAGCGAAAAGGAAATATCTGATGAGACTGATAATAATCATCGGCAATCGATTTGCAGAAATCTCGCAGAATTGAACCGGATTGGAAATCACGGAGTCATTCTAGGCGCGATATCCGCAGGGCATCCCCCGGATCAACAAGTGTTCTCTCTCTCCCCCGATGAACGTGTGCTTCTATTCACGATTATATTGATGTCAGTCGGGGTTGCTGGTAGCGCAGGCGCGGATCTACCCCCGGATCGGGTCGACGACGGGCGGGGGTCGTACGAAATGGTCGATATTTTAGCTATAGCCAAGCGGGTGGTCTACGGTGCGCGAGACGTTTCAACGAGATCGGTCAGTCCAGTTTCCTTGTATTCGCTGTTACGAAATAAACTCCCCTGTCCGTGTACCGTGCTGGTCAGTGCGAGATATCGCGGGAGCGCGTTGTTGCAACCAGAGGAATATCCCCCGTCTGCGCTTGGCCGCCCGTTAGCCCCCTCCTCGCGAACCCCCCTCGTGCGTTAAATATTAATCGATCGGCAGCCGAGCGCAGCGCAGCGCGTGGTGCATCCCGTCTGTCGTCGCATCTCTCGTCGCAGCCGACAACCGACGGCGAATCCGTGCGGGATTCCCCACGTCGACGATCACAGCGAGGAACGATCCGTCGTCCGTTGAAGGGAGACAGCTTCCTTCCCCATCCCCAGGGAGTGACTCTTCCAGGTGACACCTCGGAGCACTTCCGCGAAAAAACTCATTCGCTATCGTTAGAGACTCAGGAACTTGCGAAAGAGGCTTTTCTCACAAAAGTAAACGCGTCGATAGCTTGCTTATTGATTTCCCTCCATCTATCTCTCTCTTTTTCTTGTTCCTGCTCTCTCCTTTCTCTCGCGCTCTCTTGATCTCTCATGGCTCCTGCTTACCTCTCTGTCATTTCGATATTCATTTTCTGAATATTTGTTTTCTCCATTTTTCTCTTTCTTCTTTAAGTTTTACGTAAAATGTATACTGATATAAAAAATACGCAGATTAGAATGTTATCATTTGCCTATTTTATGTATGCTTTCATCTCTTTTTCTTTTCTCTATTTTTTAAATCTAAATTTCTCGTATGTTATCCCACAACTTGTGAAAAGCTTAGCCAAATACACATGGCGATGATAAAGTCTCTTCTCTCTGTCTCTTTTCTGCCAGTCGTAAAACTGCGGGCATGATCGCCTGGCCTTTCATTCACTCGAGTTCACTTTCTGCGTTTCATGCGACGCCGTAGAGTCGTCGTGACGTAGGCAACCACGCTCTAGCCTCTTCCAATCAATTCCTTGTTCATTTATCCGTTTCGTGTCATCTCCTTCCACATTATTCCTCGGTACTAAAATTTCGCAAAGATTTACCTTGTGCCATGAATACCTTCATGCGAGTTTTTCATTAATTATTAAAGCTATTGAGAAGAAGTGAGATAAAGGAACAGGCCGATAAGTTAGCTTTCTGTCGTCCAACACCCAGCTGAGTATCGACTTCCATCATCGGTTACGATGACTGACGGATTGATTTTCTTAAATCTTTCCCGGAAGAATTATATCATTGATCTTTTCAAAATTCCTGGTACATACAAACACTATAATTAAATAATTTAAGAATTAAATTCATTTCATAAGCTCATTTTCATAAATTAAAATAAAATAACATACAATTTTACAAGTCAATCAAAATACTGTATGATACTCTGTCGCACGTTATATAAAATATTTTTTGTGCAAAATTAAAAATTTAGCCTTTTATCATTCTTAATTAGAGATCTCATCTGCCGTTTGTAACCATTTTACAAAATTATCGGACTTTAGTAGTGTTTTATTAATTTATCGAAGGGATCAACTTTAATAATTTTACAAGATAGAAAGTCATCGCGATATTAGTCAGCTGAACGTTTCGAAGGGATTAATTGCTCGTCCTCGACGTAGGCGCGCCGGGCGGCTGTTCAAAGACTTTACTTCTTTACGCCAACGCGCGTGCCTCTGACGTAAACGGAGGCTCCATCTTCCGTCGCCGTTCATTCTACGGATGCACTGAAATCGAAACTACGTAACTACGAACGGGCGGTGCGAGAGCATGAAAGCGTGGGTGGGCAACCGGGTATGACAATCGATTTGCCTCCGAAAATATTTGTTCCCTCGCTGGCTCCGCTAACGCCGTCGGAAATCAATGGAATCGAGCGCGGCCGCGGATCGGACGATTGCACATCCATCGAAAGACGATAATTGTAATCTGACCCACCTCGAATCGAGTTGTTACAAGTTGAACGAAGCCAAAGAATTAAAACCAAAGTGTCCTCTCTCCCTATAAAAATATCCTCAAATCTGCATGGAACATGGAAAGAATGTTTTTTACTAGTTGTAAAATATCTAAAAATTTATTATATTATAATTATAGAGAGATACAGATCTGAAAATAATTTTGTTAGATTATCAAAATAATTATGTAAAACGCTCAAGTTGATTGCTAGAATGTCAAAATTTTTTGTAGCATTATTCATCATACTTGAGTTTCCTATACGTAATTATTTTGATGGCTCAACAAAATTATTTTCAGATCTATATCTAGTTAAATATTTCAGCAAAATTGTTCTTTCCATATGACTATATAGATTCTAATTTCGGATCCTATTGTGTCCATTCTATCAATGCATCTCACTAGTATTTCATGTATTGTTGTACCTCACGAAGTTATTTTTGTGGGATTCAATACGAATATCTTTGCGGATATTAAGGCACATTTCAATGAACTTTGAAAAAAAAGGTTCGCAGCAAAATCAGAAATTTAATTATAATCAATATGTAAAGAAATAGGATATCGAGTTCGTGATCAGCGAAACATATATTGCGACCAACCTCGATGTAAACTGATAATGAAACTGAAATTGTAATTTCGTGCAAAAACGAAGTTGCCAAGAAGAAATGGACTTGTCCCACCGTCGTCGCCGTACCATCGATTTCCGTAACTACTTGATGCCCGTAGAACGCGCGTCGTCTCAATCATCATCTGTCCACCGAGACACACTCAATTACTTTCTACCGTCCGTCACGGAAATTGCCGTAACATTGTACAACAATGCTCGCAGGTGGTGACATACCTGCACTTTCCTTTTTTACGAGAACCGACCGTTGTTAACGTTGACATGACATACGGCGCCGATATCGTTATCGCACACGGAAAACCTTGTCCTACTTTTTCTTTAACCGTGCCATCTAGTATGTGTGAGTGCGTGACGCAATCTTCCGGATGAGATTTTACTCTCTCCCTTTTACGCCTCGCGAAATAATTATATGCAGTGCTCCCTGTGTAATTGTCGCGGTCATTTGTCTTGATTGCATCCGTTTAACGCACATTGGTAACTCCGAGCAGTGATACGTGAAGGCACACGAGCCTCTGAATACGTGCTAAGAGAATATGCGAGTTTAATCTGTGAATTGGCCTCAAGTTCCTCCTATCGAGAATGTCGAAATATTGATAATGTTTAAATCACATGTAAGTGAAAATTTCAAATGTCAAATTAAATTCAGTGAAATTTGATAATAATTTGATGATAAAATTTTAAACGCAAATTCAATAAATTTAATAAAATTGCCCGATCTTAAAATACATTCCAATCAAATTTTAGCGGTACTTTCTGACTAGAATAATTATGATAAGGAATCGCGCGAAAGAAGATGAGAAACTTTTATCAAAATTCTGAGAAGAAAGTAGATTTCAAATCCATCGAAGATAGTTTTCAAGCATGTTCTGTGTTCTGTGTCATATACATATATAGTAAAACTTTGCGTAAACAAGATCTTTATAGGTTCTTGTCAGCGGAAGAACAGGTCATATTTTTTTTACTTCTGAAATAACTTATACAGTGAATCGAGCGCGAAATCGATAGGAACCTGCTATCGAATCTAAAAGTTTCTCGGCTCACCCTCGGTTTTACATTCGTGCAAGTTGTATTTATAGTTCTCGATCCACCAATTTATTTCCAACCGCAAGTATAGTCGCCTTTTGACGAGTCAGTAATCGATGAGCTACAAGAAATTTCTTCTTTTGCACTTTGTCACGGGAATGGTTATTTTTGCAACGAGAGAGAGAACAAACTGCGACGAAAGGTGATACCTTTGTTAATTACTGTCACGTTAAATAGATTAGATGTTCCGAAGATAAATTTTCTCTCTTCATGTAAATATGCTTCGCCTATATTTTCACAATACATCATTTGACACGAACGATTTCTGAGAAACTTCAAGAAATATTGTAAAGGAAAAATGTTGTGTCATGTATACATCAATTAAAAAACGTATACATACTTTCACACGATATGCATATTCGTTATGTGTTATATTTGTTATTTTTACATAAGATATTATTGCTCCTGGTATTTTTCAATTTCAATATAAGCATAAGCTTGCTTTGAGTCTATAATAATATGTTTAGTAATATAATAATGCTCAGAATAATTATAGGTTATTAAGAATAAATATTTTTTCCTAAACTACTCTTTAATAGAGAGTTAATTGGATTATAAATAGAAATAAGTTTTAATTTTAATATCTACCTTAATTAAATAAATAATCAACATTATATTTAATATATAATTAAATGTATATAAAAAAATAGCTTAAGTTTTTGCTTAAAATTCCTGAAAAATTCAGATAAAATTTATTTATTTACACACTGAAGAGCCAAATGACAAGAACAAACTAAGGCAACACAAATGCGATCATACGCACCTGTGCGAACCGCAGACTATCGCTCGCAGGTCCGATTATCGTCGTCGACACGTCGTCACGCGTGTGGAAACAATACGGCGGAATAAGAAACGGAAGAAAGAACCGCGAACAATCGCCACGTTGTTCATTCAGACCAGTTTTTATTCGAATCGAGTTTAATAATTTCGCATTAACGTGATGCCGTTTACGCAAGAGTGCTTCTCACAATAATTCCTTTATTATTCTCTTGGATTCTCTTCGGATTAATTAAGCCCGTTGAGTGCGAGGAGAGACAATACATTTCATTTTGCGTCAAGAAGAAAAAAAGTAGTGAAAATAGTGTCGGAAAAATGATCGACAATAATCGACAATAATCTTACCAACAAAAACGTCTGCTGAAGGAAGTTTAAGACAAAGCAAAGTGTCAAACAAATACCTCGTTATTTAATAAATCTATAGAAATAAATATTCAATAAAACAATTACTTGAACAAGATTAGAGAGACAAGCAGTTAATGAGTTTTAGTAATGAAATGAGAGACTATATTAATATAAAACGATAAATGAATTGTAGACAGCAGCACGAGGTTAGAGACAACTGAGATAAAATGGTTAATAAATTGCAATCAATAAAAACTAAAACGGACTGAAAAATCGATCATGGGAATATGTGATCGAAAGTTGTAATAAAAAAAGAGTGTAAAAGGATAGAGAAATCGATTGAGTGTTGTATTTGTATGACATTTGAGATGTCGAGGAGGTGCAAGAACACGTCCTACACGCCAGTTAAGGATTCCGTTTTCGAGCTACGCACACGGATGGCCCGGATGCTGTCTATCGTCGAGATTACCTCACAGAGGAATAATCCGGTATCGGAATATCGACTCGACATGAATATCCGTTAGCATGAGTGCTTTTTCGCCGAGCAAAGAGAGAACTAACTAACGAAGAGAAAACGCGCGAGAAAATTTCAATGTACTTCAATTGAGATTCATGCGGGATAATATTGATTTATATATTCCACGATCGAGTGATTTGATTAAATTTCCCGCTTGTAATTTCAATTGAAAGACTTGTGAAAATAATTACATGATAACGCGAAGTTAACAGTTGACCAAAAGAGCATTAATAAAATTTAATTTTCTTTTGATCCTTATCCAAAATTTATTTACGTTGTTTAAAACTAAAAATTGAAGATATTATAATATTTTCATATTCAAAATTTTTTAAAATGACTAAAAAATTATAAAATTTTTTAGAAAAGATTTTAAACACCAAAGGTTTTCCGAAAAAGGTTTCAATGCTTTTAACGGCCCTTTAAACGGTCAATTCATGATTCGACGATACCAATAAAAAGTACATATTGCAACTATATTTTTGAGCGTTTTCAGTTACACACAGTTTTCAATCCTGCTTTGTCAGTAACAGGACTCAAAAAATATTGTAACTCAAATACTGTACAGTTTTGTATTTATTTTCGCTTCTGTTAGAATTGACAAAAGAAACACTTTCAAGAAGAAAACTATTTGATAAATAACAATTCCCCGAAAAGCTTTTTATTGGTGTTGTTGAATTGATTCCAAAACTGACACACATACACTCTACAGTAAAACCGAATTTCTCTCATGTGGCTTTATGTACCTCGAACTTTTCGATATTTTTATCCAGCGTTTTCGTGAACATGACCAAGTGACCCGATAAACCGTGACAAATTTCACATCAGTAGTAAACTCATCTATTGCATCGTGCACCTTCCTTTTGTCCATCTCGTCCGATATAAAACAGTTTACGACGTGCACATTCACCTCGACGTTCACACACACAAAGCCAATCACAATATATAAGTCTCGTGCATCTTTCTTTTAAATCGTTGACCCACAATTATTACAAAACATGAAAAAGTATAATAAATTTTACTCTGATAATTTCTGTAATTATTAATCATAAATTATATATTACATTTTAAAAAATATAAAATGTAATACATTTTATATTAACACATTTTAATATTTCATTTTAATCAAATTTTCTCTATTAAATTCAAAATTTAATAAGTCTTTCTCCATTTATAATTAATTTATAATTCACTTGTAATTTGTTAATGTATATATTTTAAAATTTATAGCTCTGGAAATGTAGAAATTATCTGAATTTATAATTCCTATATTACATAAAAAAATTAATCCTGAAATTTATTTTTTTAGATATTAAATCCAGCAATTAATAAGAATATTTTCATTTATAACTTTTTTTAATTTCTTAATTCTTCGATTTGGATAAAAATATAGAAATTATCTAAATTCATAAATTAAAATAACACGAATAATTCTTTCACAGATGGCGCGTCAGGATGGCAGAGATGCCGCGGATCAAAACTTCGATTATATGTTTAAGCTGCTGATAATCGGCAATTCATCTGTTGGCAAAACTTCCTTCCTCTTTCGCTACGCGGACGATTCTTTTACTTCAGCTTTTGTGTCAACCGTAGGGATCGACTTTAAGGTGAAAACTGTCTTCAGACACGACAAAAGGGTCAAGTTACAAATCTGGGTCAGTACATAATCAATATATTATGCACGTATAATATAATTTCCTGACGAAAAGCAGGAATTTTATGATATTAATATGGATGCTTTATGATATTAACGTGGATTATTCAAGATTAATGTGTCATTAAAATAATGACTAGCCTATATATTATATAACAAATATATGCGTTTTTAATTACTTTTTAATTGGTATTTTAACAATCTGTCTTATAAAATATTTTTAGAAATGTCGTGTTGCAAGCAATGCATGACTATCCATGTATATTGTATAATATAAAATTACACCGCTTATCGATCATTGTTATCCTGACAGGACACGGCGGGTCAGGAAAGATACAGAACGATCACGACGGCCTACTACAGAGGCGCGATGGGTTTTATCTTAATGTATGACATCACAAACGAGGAGTCGTTTAATTCAGTCCAGGATTGGGTTACGCAAATAAAGAATTACTCGTGGGACAACGCCCAAGTAATTCTGGTCGGCAACAAGTGCGATATGGAAGAGGAAAGGGTGATCAGTACCGAAAGGGGAAAACAGTTGGCGGAGCAATTAGGAGTACGATTCTTCGAGACCTCGGCCAAAGAGAACATCAACGTCAAGGTACGTGTCACAAATTCGGTAACTGACTGTTCATTAAATAAAAAGCAGAAATTTCTTATTTCTAAAAATATAAAATTTCGTATGTAGGAGATAATTTTTTTAATTTTTGTAGCCTTCCTATTTGCAGAAAATGATATAAATAACTCTTATTCAATCAATAATTATCTAATTAACATGTTTAATTAACATAAATTTTTGAAAAGTAAATAAGTTTCAACTAATAAATATCGATGAGAACACGCCGTAACAGTCAAGCTGGATCTTCGATGCTTCTAATTTATAATTTCGTGTGAATTTGTACTACGTATGTAGATTCTTAAATGCGCGCCGAAATTTTTTTAGACTTACAATGCAAACTCTAATAAACTACCACAATACTATCACGAGTTAAATTGATTAACAATCTAACAATTTTGATGCTCGTGGATCTTTATAATGTTGAATGATTTATTAAAATCTATGAATGACATTAAAAATCTGTAAATAATTAATTTATATTGCGAAAAATATTACCTCGGCCGGAAGTCAAATCCGGATCTCTGGCATTCCGTGCGAGAATTCCGTTACGGCATGTTCTCATCGGTATTTATTAGTTTAAACTTTCACGGTCCAATAAGATTAAATAAGTTTTGTTCTAAAATATTAACCTCATTCAAAGCTAAATATCTATTTATCAAGAAAAAAATATAATTTTTCTAGTTATTTTATATCTGTACATAATTGAAGTTAATGTAAAAATTTATAAGAATTTTTAGTCCTCGTTTTCGATCTTTGACGTTTTCGATCTCGCTTTATTGTGTTTTGGATTAGACGCGAATGCGAGGCATATATCGATCCCACTTGTCGCGAGGCCACGTAGATGATCGATTCTCTTTTTCTCTTATTTCGGCAGGCGGTGTTCGAGCAGCTGGTGGACATAATATGCGACAAGATGAGCGAATCTCTGGATAATGATCCAACCCTGATGGGGGCGGGTGGTATGGGTCAGAACAAGGGCCAACGACTTACTGATCAGCCGACCAATCCAGCGAACGCTAACTGTAATTGCTAAAAAAAATGCGACGCAGAAGAAGGAGAAAAACCGAGAGATCGTATTTTGTGCGTGTGCTGCGCGCATGTGTGCACGTGTGTGTTACGTGTGTTAGAAAAAGGGAGAAAGAAGGAGAAAGAGAGAGGAAAAGAAAAAAAAGGAGAAGAAAGTGTCGTGTGCGACGCTGGTGTGTTAACTAGTCTACTTACTTCGTCGTTCCCTCTCGTTATGTTATTTATTTTAAAATTCGCCTTTCGTTCTCACACATTTTCTTTCACTCTTTCTCGGCGCGAGATGATATATATGAATAATGTACGCTATAAATATATACATATATATATATACACATAATGATTGTGATCATCGAGGTGGCAACCAAGTTAGTCAACGACCGTCAAATAAACGGTTGCGGTTCTCCTTTCGGTTAATCCACTTGAGAGTCAAAGATAAACTTGATATAATTTCCGAAAATTCAAATTTCCATGTTGCAGACACGCGAAAATGTATTTTCCATTTTATGATTAATAGTCGCGTTTTTATTATTAGAAGTAAATGTGTAATAATCATACAAATTCGCGCTCTCGAATATTAATTAAACTTATAATTGAGATTTAATCAATTCTTTATTTCCTTCGGAAAAGCCAAAACAGCAGAAGATCCAATTAGTCATAGTTCAATTAATCATTTGGATAAAAACAATTTTTGTAACAACACACACACAAAAAAGAAAGTTTTACAAAAATAACTGTATAAAATAATCAGAAAAATTATAATTTCACGTTATACTGAAATAATAATTTTGTTATTATTTCGCTCAATGCATGTATGAAAATTGTTTTCACGTATCTGTGGCATCAAGATTTGAAACCAAAGGGAATAATGGATACTTTAATTTTTGTTAATGAAGAGAAGATAATAAACCGCGAAGGAGAGAAATTAAACAAAGGTGCATTTTGTCGCGGTTGATAATGATTAATGACGACGATCGTTATAGCAGGGACGCGATGTTGCTCACTCGATGTTTGGCACTGTAGACTCACGCAAAAGGGAATGATTCCATGTTTCAAGCATTAAGGAAGATACGCCCAGGAAAATCTGACAATAAGCGTTAATCGCTCGATAAAACTCCATGAATTCGAAATACTGATCAATCAGAGATGTAACCGAGTCGAATTAATCCTTCAGCTCCTCCTGTCTATCTCAATGTGAGCAACGCAGTTGTGTACGTAAAGTTCACGTTTTAATATTGCTGGGAACTTGCAAGCTGTTTAAGCTGTTTAGAGGAAAACATATTATTCAAGAGAGTATTTATATATTTAAATATTGTCATACATTTAATATTTAGCGATATTCTATAACAATAATTAGTGATTGCAGCGGTAAAGATTCAACGATGAACATCAAGCACGTTCAAAACGTTCACGGAGACCAGAGGAATTGAAGGATTAAACACAATAAAGGCGGTGCGTGAGCACGATTTAATTTATGTTGATATTTCACGTTAATATTTATTGAATTTTATTTACGTTAATATGTAATTGAAGCGGCGAGTTAAATAGATCTGACAATCGATCTATAATCGGATACTGTAAACTCAAAAAATTCAAATATTGAAAAGAAAAATATTTCAGCGAGATACGCTTTAAAAAAGTTTAAAGCTGCCCATTTTTTAAAATAGAAGTTTACATCTTTCGCTAAAGTATTTCTCAACCATTTTAACACACTTGAAGTGTTTTGTCCCGATCAATAGGTAGTGTATTCGATTATTTATGGTGCAATTATATCGATGATTCACTGACGTATACTCGGCCCGTAATTTTCGTAATTTAGATATAAAACTGTTTTTATGACGATGGCGATCAACGTCGGTCATATGCACAATTCATTTCCGCTCACAAAATCTCGAGCACTTCAATCCAGCGATTCAGATGTTAAACTATGTTTTTTCGTTGCGACTGAAGTACATCGTTGCGGATGTTTTAGTGTCCTGTTAAGGGCAATTATAACATTAAATCTTAGCACTGTTGTTTACGAAAAAATTTTAATTGTACTGTTAATACTTATAATTGTACTTTTACTTATCTTTCGTTACACTTTGTAACTCATAAATTTATTTATATCTCGCCCCGTCTCGTTCAAAACGAAAACGGATATTTATTAATATAAAAGCACATTTAAAAAAATGACAGATTTATATACAAAAAAAAAAGAAACTCTGAGAGAATTTCTGTAGTTCTTGCTGTGTATAATTATTCACGATTATCTATTAAGCGACTTTTAAAACAGCAAAATTGCGAGCAAAAGAGAATATCATCTTCGGTAGACCATAACATTTTTAGATCTCTGAGTTTTTTGAGGCACTGTCAACGTGATATCACGAAACGTTCAATAATTTTATCAGTCAGCCACTTCACATTGTATCGATCGTAATGGCACTCTTCCCTCGAATTATTTAAGGTAGCAAACATTAGCGAGCACTATTATCGGGATCGACGAAGGCCGAGATTGTAACAGGGCCGGATACAACTATATTGTAAATCATTCAGAGGTACCAGCAGCATCGATCTGGCGTCAATTATCGAGGAGTGTCGGCGTCCCGCTTACTACTTCAGTCGTCATCCGGCGTTAAACCTACCTATTAGGTAAGCTGCCCTCTGTACATAAGTGAGATAATAAAAACAAAAAGGTATCTATCATGTATCATTGAATCTGTAATGAGATGTAACGTGTACGCGTTAATTTAGCCGCGCGAATTTTTTCGCGAGAAGCATGTCGGAGATCGTACGGCCCGCGACACCGAGTGCACTGATCGATTGCACAATTAATCGATCACGAACCGTCGCGGATTAGCGAATTGTCGACAACGAATGTGTCCTCGTGTAATCGGGGAGAGAAAGAGAAGTAAAGTGTGTGTAAAACCGCGTGTTCAAAAAGCGTAGCTTATCGAGCTAGCATTGAGAACGAGTTAATTTCAACGAGTTCGATTTTTGTTATAGAAAAGAAAAAACGGAAAAATTTTGCGCCAATTATCGCGTTCCCATTTACAAATAAGTAGAGATCGTTCTACGTCTATTTTTGTCTATCAAAATCTGAACTCGTCGAAATTATACGGGATTTCAATTTCTGCTTTTTTTTTATTAAGGTCTCTCTCCTTTTTCTATACTTTCTCCACTTCGAGCACGACAAGTGGAAGCGAAAGCAAGAATATGAGAGGAAAAAGTCATTTTGGCAACGTGGTATGATTTTATCTTCCTTTAAAGAACTATAGAATTCGAAAATGGAATATATAATGTTAAAACATTGAAATCTATATAAAATGGAAAATACAAATAAATGCAAATATAAATAAATACAATATATTACTGATGAGAACATGCCGTAACGATCAAACTGGATCTTGGATGCTTCTAATTTATAATTTCGTGTGAATTTATATACTACGCGCGTATGTAGATTCTTAAATGCGCGCCGAAATTTTTTTCAGACTTACAAACTCTAATGAACTACCGCAGTCTAATGAACTATCACGAGTTAAATTGACTAACAATCTAACAATTGTGGTGCTCATAACATCTTGGATCTTAATAATGTTGAATGACATATTAAAATCTATGAATGACATTAAAAATTTGTAAATAATTAATTTATCAAATTTCAAAAGTAATCTTCTCACTGACTCTCCAACTTTAAAAGAAATCGTATGAAAGGGATGAGAGTGAGAGTGCCACGTTGTTATTGGTACGCAATCAATTAAAAATAAATCTCTCGAAATCCTTTATTATTCATCAATTATACAATTAGTAAGTTTGAACTCTTTTTTTTAGTCCTCCTCAACTAATATAACCAGTAATTCTCCCTTTTGGATTTTGCAAATAGTAACAACGAATTGAAAGATTTGTTGTTACATATCTTGCAAACAAAAAGACGTTAAAATTGAAAATATGGATCGATTGTATCATATTGGAAATATATTGCCACTATTATTTGAATGCATGATGTATGTAATATTCATATTGTTAAAGAGACTAAGAAGTATGCTTACATATTCGTTTCAGTACTTAGACTGATCAGTCTATTTTTGATTCAGTTACTGATTCAGTACTCAGTCTAAGTACTGAAACGAATATGTAAGCATACTTCTTAGTCTCCTTAACAATACGAACATTACATACATCATACATTCAAATAATAGAGGCAATATTAATTATTTAAAGATTTTTAATATGTTTTATTCATAGATTTTAATATGTCATTTAACATTATTAAATTCAAGATGCTACGAGCATCAAAATTGTTAGATTGGTAGTCAATTTTACTTGTAATAGTACTGCGATAGTTTATTAGAGTTTGCGTTGTAAGTTTGAAAAAAATTTCGGCGCGCATTTAAGAATCTACATACGTAGTACATAAATTCACACGAAATTATAAATTAGAAGCATCCAAGATCCAACTTAACCGTTATAGCATATTCTCATCGATATTTAGTTTAAATTCTCACGGTCCAATAAGATTTGATACAATATATTATATGTGATACAAATGATATAATACAAATACATTTATAAAATAATAAAACATCAATTTCAAGAACTCAAATTGCAAAAAAATGAAAGGATATCTTATATTCTTACTTCTCCTTTTCTGTGCATATTTTTGGCAAGAAAAAGATGTGCAAGTGTAGAAAGCGCAAGTAAAGTTGACCGACCTATTAATGTAATTCAAATGCTAATTAATGATGACAAGAGAGAGGAAGAGAGAGAGAGAGAGAGAGAGAGAGAGAGAGAGAGAGAGAGAGAGAAACTTTTCCGGCTGTCGCGGGCATCTGTATGTATGTATCGTACGGTGTGTAAACTGTACTATATATATACGCCTAATATTAACGATAACTACATTAATGACAAAACAATAATCCACCAATACATTCCACACGCATAATGCAAGAGCAACAAGGAAACACACATACATATATACACGTGGAGGAGAAGAAAACAATCACATTGCAGGCGTCACGTTGAAAGAAATCATTTGTATAACAGAACTGTTGTACTCTAAATAAGCTGTATAATTGTAGCAAAAGTCAATCATGGATGTTTTCAACGACTGCTACGTCGTATATGTTAATTGTACGTATATATGTGCACAATCCGACGCAGATCCCGAGAGAGAAAGAGAGAGTGCACGCGACAAAGAGAGAATGAGAATGAAAGAGAGTGAGAGTGAGAGAGAGAAAAAGAATGAGAGAATGTAACATGGCAAATACTTTGAGAATCGGACGTAGCGACAAATGTAAACGATATACATATATACATACATATATATATATATTTAAAACAAAGAAATGACAGAGAGAGCTAATTGTGAATTACATATGCATGTGCTGTGTATGTGCGGTGCAAGCACTCGAAAGACATCGATGGAAAAAAAAAGGAAAGAAATGAGCAGTGGAGTAAATCTATAATTTGCAACATGTGTACAAATCATTGACAAACAAT